GGGCGCTAAGCTCCAAAGTGCACCTCCTAAAACTTTGAAAGAAACTTTTACAATTCTCTAAGGTTACATTTGAGGCAGCGACGGAGATAAAAAAAAGTTCCAGTGCTGTTTTAAATTAATAAAAAAAAAAATCCCAGCAGTATTTCAGATGTTCAAGTTCAATAGATGACAGGTTGTGTAAAACCTTCACAGAATTTGGAAAAGCGGAATGATCTCCGCAGCTGTTTTAACAGACTTGAACACTATTCACTATTCATACAGCTACTATTATAAGTCTGCGCAAGCATGAAACTGAAGCGCAAACCCGACTTGAGTCACGACTCGACTAGGCCTGATTGGTACTGCTAAATCTGAAACCTGAAGCCTAACCCGAACTCGCTTAGATTGGCTTCATCTACAGTCAAAGTGTCGCTGATGCGATGACATGTTGTTCCTCCTGCTATCACAGTTTGAAATACTATTGCAAGCTCTACGCTGCAAATGACCAGCATGCTTTTTATCTGATGTAATGATGTTTCCATAATGAAGATGTCGTTGACTCATTTGGAATTTTAAACAGTTCCTTTAGTGAGCTCTCTTTTTATCTCATCCGTGGCAAACAGCAAGGAAAAGTGAGACTGTTTAGCGAGGCTTGGTTGTATAGCACAGCACAGTGCGGGAACAAATCTGAACCCAAAACCTTCCACACCTTGGTGTCCATTTCCCATCACACAACAGAACTGTGAAAGTAGGCAGAGTTCTTTTTAGCTTGTGTGGTCACACAATTCCGCACAGGAATCTAGTGATAACAGTAAACACAAACAAGTAGCAGCAAGTGAGGAGCTTCAAGCACTGATTTAGCTTTTACTCTGCATTTGGTTTTATGTGACAGCAATTCTGGCTGGCTATAAAAATATATACCATCTTTTTTTTTTTTTTTACCCAATTATCTCCCTAATTTTGTCGTTTCCAATTCCACCCGCTAGTTAGGACTCCCCCAATCACACGATGCTATCAACGCTAGGAGGGTGAAGGCTAGCACAGGCTTCCTCCGAGACCTGTGAAACCAGCCACCGCTTCTTTTCGAACTGCCGCTCACGCAACGTCACTGGACAGCTGAACGCGCTCGGAGGAAAGCGCCAACCGCCAGATCTGTTACGTCAGCTAACAGACACCTGCGCTGACTAGCATCGCGTTGAGTGATGGGGGGAGAGGGAGGGGCCATCCTACCCACCCAGAGAGAGCGAGGCCAATTGTGCTCTCTCGGACTCCCGGCTACGGATGGCTGTAGCATCACCAGGGATCAAACTCGCGATCTCCTGATGGTAGGGCCAACGCTTAGACGGTTGCGCCACTCGGGAGCCATACCATCTTTAAAAGAAACACCTGTGGTGCTTGTTTATTATATATTTTAAAACCACAGTGTGTAAAAACAACTTTCTTACTTTACAGACACTGAAGCCTGAGCAGACTGATAAACCAATGATCACCTATTAATCTCAGTGTTACTGAGCTCTCCTAAAGCCTGAGCAGACTGATAAATCAATGTGATGACCAGTTATTAATCTCAGTGTTACTGAGCTCTGCTAAAGCAGAGTAGACTGATAAATCAATGTGATGATCAGTTATAATCTCAGCGTTACTGAGCTCTGCTAAAGCCTGAGTAGACTGATAAATCAATGTGATGATCAGATATTAATCTCAGTGTTACTGAGCTCTGCTAAAGCAGAGTACACTGATAAATCAATGTGATGATCAGTTATAATCTCAGCGTTACTGAGCTCTGCTAAAGCCTGAGTAGAATGATAAATCAATCTGATGATCAGGTATTAATTTCAGTGTTTCTGAAGTTTTTTGGAGGGATGATGGAACGGAACTCCTCAATCGTGAACATCTTGACTAGTGATTAGCTCAGCATCGGTGTTGTTGGACTTGTGCATGCATTTCATTACAATGCCATTAACAGAAAATCACAGCGACCCACTTCAGAGTCACACTTGCTAGATTTTGTCATTGGGATATAAAGAATTGTTTGTCTGGTTAATGAGACACCTGTCAAACTGTGGGAGCAGCAGTGGACCAAAGCAAGTGATGAGAGCCGAAATATTGGGAATTTTGCCACTTCTTTCAAAGCAGAAACTGCCACCAGTAACAGAGAAACAGTGTGAATTAAATAAAGAGCAGAGTTTTTACCATCTGTCTTATCAATATGTCCTCTAAATGTATTCAGAATATATTACTTTTTATGCATTGTAATGTAATACTTACTAAATACATTTAGGACAGTATATTCAGTACTCAGCCATCACTACTTTTTTAAAGTATGTCTTTTTGGCCCTCAGCCCAACACAAACATTGCACTTTGGCCCCCCAAGACAAGACATTTGGGCAACCCTGACATAAAGTTTACAATACTGTATAGAGAGAGATAGAGAGGGAGGGAGAGAGAGAGACCTACATTCCTACCAATAAAAACAAATTACTACATAAAAAATTGCCCATTTGAAAACAAATCAAGCCCAATGTTGTATGTGAAAAATTTATTCCAAACTCGGCAGAAACCAGATATTTTGTCAGCCCCCGTCTGGCTCAATCTGGTAGCAGACCTCTAACAGCTACAAAGCATTGACATAAAAACATTTATCCTTCTTAAGTATAGCTAGGAAACTCATATCTTGGTCATCTCCCTGGTCTTCGTTTTCCACTTTCCATATTCTTCTGGTCAGCAACCAAATCCTAATTGAAGCCAGTATGTTCTAATACAGTCTGGCAAAGCAGTCTGAGAGACTCTACGTCTGGAGAAGTTCTCATCCACTGCCGGATTACTCTTTCCTTGTCTGCAGAACTGTTTTGCATTCTGTTGCTCTCTTTGGTTCGGACAAAAGAAGAGATAGAGAGAACATTCCAATTATGTGAGAGGGATGCCTTTGAAGTGTGATATTAAAATATTAATATAGCAGTATTGACTTGAAAGAAACTGACTGTTCAACAGAGCAGTGGATGTTCAATAATGTCACATTATTGCTGTCATATCAAAAGCTGAAAGTTAATCAACACGGGTTCTTTTTGGAATCTCCCTTTACACCGTGTGACCATTTCATGATAAATGGACGCAAAATTACAATTTCTCTTCTCCTAAAAAGTTACTATCTCAAAGATATAAAGCTTTGTCAGGTCATTTCAGGAGTGCATTTGAAAAATAGTTGTCCAACACAACAGGCCCATTTAGGAAAAGAGCCCATAAATCTACAAACGTCCCATTCAAAAACAAAACAACCCCCGTAAGACTGTGGAACAACAGAGTAACCTGACTGGGGAGACGACTCAAAGAAGAGCACTAATATGCTTTTCATGTGTGCTGACAAGCTGCCAAAAGAGGATCCCATAACCAGAATAGTACCATAATACTTTATGCAGAGCCTCTCTTAGATTTCCAGATACATCTTTGCTGAATCAAACTAAGAAAGCAATAAATAAGAACATGCTGGGACTGACTATGACCAAAACCTCTGTGAACACAGAGAAGGGGGCAGAGGACATGGCATCCCCTCTAAGAATCCACACCTGTGAGCGCTCGGCGACCCCGGAACGAGCTTAGAAGAGGAGCAAAATATTTGCGGATGGCAAAACCACTTGTGATAACATCTGTGAATGAAATTGCTGAATGATGAACCTGTCTGCAGGAAGTCTTTCTCACAGTGGGGTTAAATTCTAGAGCGCATGTGGAACTTGTATGGTATGTGCCACAGGCAAGGAATTTCATACTGCACTATCTATGTTCATAGCAACTGTTGCAAAGACAAGCAGAACTTTGGTAAAAAGGCCATAGTAGTGGTGCTGTTCATACATTAATTAGAGTCTAAGGATGCAACTAACAAGCATCTGTAAAATCACTTAGTCTCTTGACTTTTTTCTGGACTGATCAACTAATTTAAGAATAATATTTCTGTTTCAGCGATAAATAAATTTAACCCCTTAACATTCCAGGCTTATTACATACTAAAGCTTATTATTCATTACCTACAAGGACTTCAATGCAAACTAATGGAGCTTTTTTAGGTTTCTGAAGTGTGTAATAAAACTTTGGGCGCACTGGCAGGCCCATCGCTTGGTAAGCGGTTAAATAATGGTACAAGAAACCTGAATTTGAAAATTAACCATCGAAACATTATATTGCTTTTCTTAACGCTACTGTTAAATTTATTTCTCAGTGGAAATTGTTGCTGAACCAAAAGTATGACAGAATACAAGAAATTATAGAGTGTTAAATAAATAAAATGATTTACCAAAGTATCCAAAACAGGTTATAAAGTAAATTCATAAATAACTTTATAGTTCTATTTTTCAACATATCATCTTTTCCATCAGATTTAATCATCTATAGTCTGTATATCTGATACCCCATCAGCTAAAGCTTTTTACACCAAGCATTATAATAATTAAAGTAGCCTGTTCAATTTTGAACTTCACTCCAAATAAAATGTTACCTCAATCTGTACCAAAATTATGGCCTTCATATGCATACAAAATAAATGTTATTTTAAATGAATAAGACTCTAATTGTACATATTTTGACAAAAACTTAAGTTACTGCACTACAATTTATCATTAGATTCAACAGGACTTTGGCCAACATTCTGTAAAGCGTGTCCAACCTTGCAACAGTAGCTACATAAGAACACTTAAGTGGGCGGAGCCTGGACAGGTCAGTCCTTCATCTGCCAGAAACACAAAGTAAAGGGAAAGTCAAAGTGAATTGTCTGTGCGTCAGACAATGGGTTTAGATCATAGACAGTAATTGATATCAGATGGTAATTTACCTGTATGACGAACACGCACATGAATAATCTGTGACCTAATGCCCTCACAAGTCCATTTTCATGGCTATTCAAAGCCAATTTGATGCAGCATGAAAGAATGACCAAATCAAAGCTACAGGTGGTATATATATGTAGAGATTCCAGGGTACAGAGAGCTTGTTGTGCAACATTACATTATGAACCCTTTATTCTCTTTTGCAGAGTGCCAATGCTCTTACTCATTTTAAGATGAAGTTATGGAAGTGTGCCGCCATCGCCTTGACGCTCTGTGGTGCTGCACTGTCCGTCTTCCTCTCTAGAATCCTGCTTCCCCTGAAAGCACCTGTTCCTCTTCACTTCAAGCTTTCGTCTTTTTCTTCATCATCATCATCACCGCTATCATCAACAGCATCACCCACATCTTCTATGTCCTCAAACGACTCCTCTTCATGGACTGGTGGGAAGTTTCGGAGGGTCAGATCGGCGAATGGTGCCAACTCGGTCATCTCTGAATGTAAGTCATCTTTTCTGTCAATGCCTCAGCTTGAATAATGTACTATGCTATATTTAAAATCCTAAATCTTATAACCTTTTTTCCATTTTTTTTTTATCCTTTTACACCATTTGTAAACACCAGCTGTCCATTTTGTGATATTTGAATATACCAACCTAAATGTCCAAAATTACTTGAAGAAGAAACTGGTTGCATTAACGTACATTAAACTTAAGAATGTTTTCTTTCTGTTAAGTTACCATTTTGTCCTTTAAAGTTATCATTGAAAAGATATGAGGTTTCGTTAAGCCAGCAACACTACAGGCCCAATGTCGGTTTCGTGACAGGTTTAGGTGCAAATCAGATAGATTCTTCTGAAACTGGTGCAAAATCCACAATGCATGGTGCTGAAATGCAAAATGCATTATCCTCCTCATCCATCTGAGGGAGGGCCACCCAAACTGTGGGAGAATAGCACTAAAAGTGAGCGGAAATGTGCTGAACAGGTTCTGAAAGCACATTTTCTATCAGAATAACACTGTTTAAACACTCAAGACCACAAAATATGCTGTGATGCGTACGCAATCTGTGCATGCAGTCTGTGATAGGCCAGAAACATACACTACATAAGAATGCGAACGCATTGTGAATGCACCATGCTTCTGTTCAAACTCAATGTGTGTTCATACGCTACTGTGGCTGGTAAAACACTCAAGGGGGCAGTAAGGGAAAAATCAGAATGGGATTTAGCATCATTCCAGCAGCCACAACTACTAAACATGTGGACAGGAGAGCAGTGTGAGATGCTACCAGTTCTATACACTCTATTTTGTAGGTGATGTACCCTGAACATTTTTATGCAAACCATTTTTGCAAATACTCATCCAACTGTTCATCTGCTGTGACAGTTGACTGAGAGAAAGCACACTAGTGGTGCAGAACAGTTTGTCCAGGCTTGACCGTTGTTATAGCGCTGCTTGCTGTAACACAGTGTAGAAGAATGTAGCCTGTGTTTTCATTGCATTATGAATTGTGACACATTTTTGTGACCCATTTTAGAATGTAGCAACATGTGAAACACGTTTCAGGCCTTATTGTTTCACAAACTTATATTCGTTGGAGTGCAAGAAGGAACTTCATTGACTGCTCTATCTCTTCATCACTGAACTCTCATTGTGTATTTTGTCTCCAGCTTGTTGGCAAAATTATTTCACTGTCTCTTTTAAAGTTCACGCCTCATGAGCGAGGAGTTAGTAGGCAGGGGGGCAGGGCTATGCACAGTTTGCATGAATGACTGCAGTTCAATGTATCTCTCTACCTATCTATCTATCTAGAGGGTTATAATGCTTAAAGGGGATCATAATTTCTGTATGATTTAATCATTGAGATGTAAACAAAGGCATTCAGAGTGGTTTGATGTGAAATGATTTATTGTACAGAAATTTACTCTGATTTCTTTACAGTGGTGGAGATAGGAACCACGGGTCAGAGCAGGCAGGATATTCATAACCAAATCATGTAATAAGTTCCTGTGAAGAGCCATTACGCTCTTCAGATCACCACCACTGTGAACAATTCTTACTCTGCGAGTTTCTCTAGAACGGAGCCTTTCACATTAAACCACTCTGAATGACTTTGCTTACATTTCAACCATTTCATTATGCAATGCAAAAATTGGTGGAGTTCCTCTTTAAGCACCATATTAGCATGCATAAGCATTGTTCCCTCTTTCCTCAATAGCGTTTTCCACATTGGGTCCAGTCAATACAATAATGTAAGTGGTTTGAAGAATGCACTGTATAATTGTATAGGAAGCATTGTATAATTACAATTATGTTTCTTCTTCTGTAAGCAGAATTTGCAAGTCAATGAATATGAAATGTAAACTGATTTTCCATATGAATAGTTTTAGAGACTGAACAAATCCTGCTAATGCATCTCCTGCTGTTCATTCACTGCTGACTTCCAGTAATGAGGTGATATGGAAAATGAGTGCACACACAGACTCAGGAGCCCACACACTCACGCAGCTGAGACGAATTTATGACAATCCAATTGAAAACAGTGTCCCCTGAGGTAGAGGAGGGATCAGAGAATTACTTGGGCTAAGTGGGTCAGCAGTGGCTCAGTGTGCTCTTTGGCCACCTGTCCATAGACTCTGGCACTCAGCACAACACAAACACTAAATGCCGTGATATTAGATTCACGCTGAAAAAAAGAGAAATTTGCCTGCAAATCTGTATTACATAAAGATCTGTCTTCATTTGTTCAGTTGAAAATACAATTACACTTTACTTGAACTCTGCTACATAACACTGACAATCATGCCATAAACATGGCATAGCTGATCATATGATGTCATGAGTAGTCACGACAGATTTTGTTCAGTAAAATAACAGGGTAATGTTACCATTATCAGTAATTGTTATGACAGATACCATAACGTTTCATGTCTGACGGCACCATCAGTTTCCACCTGTGCTGTTATTTGTGACAACTGCATCATTCCACTGACCACTGGTTGCTAAGTAACGACTGGTATGCAGCTAACCATACATTTCTACTGTAACAGGAGAACAACTAAACAAACTGGAATTAGCCAGAGATGAACAGAATACAATCCAACCAACAAGATGAAATGCTTTACAGACTGATTGGAACAAGACGACGTTCAGGCTAATCTGGCAGGCACTGAAGTATTGAGAAAGCTGAGCTAAACCTGAGATTGAGTCCTTTTTATGGCTTTCCATGACAGTGCAGTAAAGTTGATTTTGTACCAGACATTTCGTTGGATCTTTGACTTTCTCAAAGACTCAATTTCCCCTGAAACAAATGTCCAAAATGATTTTTTACTTCTGGGAAAACAGCAAACAAACTACAATCAAATATATTTCAAAAATGTTGAATTTCACTGAGCATAGGGCCAGAAACATATTCAACACAAGTACCCTAACTCAAATGACAGCGCCCAGCCAATGCACTGCAAACACACAGTCATTCTGTATAAACTCAATGTGCTTTCCTAAGTACCTGTGGATGTTAAACCAGTCAGTGCTTAAAGGGGTGAAAGGGGACAAATCAGAACGGGATCTACTGTCAGTCCAGCATCCACAACAGCTAAACATGTGGACAGTAGAGGAGTTTAAGCTGCTTTACTTCTTCTATCAGAACAAAGAGGTGATGGTGTATCATATATGTGTTCATGCAAGCAAACCTTTTTTGCGAGAAACTTTTCCAAATGCTCCTCTGATAGTCAACCAGGAGAAAACATGTTGGTGGTACAAGTATATATACATAGCACTCTTTGCTATAATGTTTAGAATGCAGCTAGTGCTTACACTGCGTTATGAATTGTGTCGTGACACACACATATATATACATATATATACACACACACACATATTTAGTAGTTGTGGATGTTGGGATGACATTAGCTCCTGTTCTGATTTTTCCTCTGTCACCCCCTTGAGTACTGAGTGCTTTACTTGGCACAGTAACATAAGAACACATGTTGACTTTGTAAAGAAGGGCAGTGTGTTTGCAATGCAGAGTGCTGTCATTTGCGTTCATGTGCTTTTGAGAGGTTTTCTCAAAAGACCGAAGCGTCGCATTTGTGTACTTGCATGAAGTATGTTTCTGGCATAACAGTTCGGACGCAAGCTTTTATTTTTATTTCCCATGTTTTTAGCTAAAATGAGAGCAAAATCATATCAAATCACACAGTAAAGTAAGTGGCTTCATTTGAAAGATGATGATGATGATGTGATATTGCCTTATTTTAGCTAAACACGTGAAATATTTTATGTACTGTTTAATTACTAAACATAGGTAACCTGCCTTTCCAAAACATGTTCAGCGAGATTTAACAACATTGTGAAATATATCTCGTTTTAGTTTGTTCTCTGTGTTTCAGGAGTGAGAAAATGTAGTACTGACCTTTTTTTGAATGTTTATATCATGAGAAATCAAGGAGAGAAAGTGAAATATCCAGTGAATGTCTGACACAAAACTGATTTTTCCACGCTGTCCATAACAAAAAAAGGATGCCCTGTTTTGTAGATGGAACTGCAGATGTTACAGTAAACCTGACATAATATCCAGGGCTTTTTGCTTTTCTTTTTTATTTTATTTTGTACAAAAGCAGCAGGACACTCAAAGTCGGTGTTATCACCAATAATATCACAGCTGTAACGATCCACGGCGACCTTATCAGAGCCGTGATGTTATTTGTGATGACACAGGACCTCAAGAGTTCTACTGCTTAAATGTACCAGGTTAAAGCGCACATTAGTTAGCTGCCATGACATCAAACATTATGACATCCGTATGGTAATAGTAACACGCCATTGTTACATCAGTGGACATAAGTGGTCATGACAGCATATAACATCTGCTATGGCATGTTCATGGCATGTCAATGTACAGTCAAAGTCATGTAGTAGGCCAAGTGTTACTGATCATGTTGTCGCTGTCAAATGAAAACCTCATAACTTGTTCCTTTTTTTAATTGACACCTTTTGAAAACACCAGCCATTCTTTACATTTTATGAACAATATAAAAGGGACTAACAGAAATGGCCCAAAATGATTGTGAAGTCTTATTAACACATACATAAGATAAAAACATTTTTCCATCTTCCATAGTTGGTATTTCAGAGATGTTTTGTTGTGACAGTAACAACATACTTTCAACATCTGACAAAGCTTAAGGGGCCCATATCATGAGAAAAAAGTTTGTGCTTGTTCAGCCTGTGGCAGTTTAGCCCCGCCCATTCACACTGAAGCTATAAGGAGTGTTTCCATGCTGCTTTCTGAATAAGGCATAGAGCAGCAAATCTGAACAGATTTACATTTTCATATAACAGTCTTAAAACAACAGATAAGAGATAAAAAGGGTGTAAAAAATAACTATGACTGCTTTTTGGTGCATAAAACCATACAAACACAAAGAAGTGGAACTCAGGGAGACAAAAAATAACATAGAAGAAAATAATGGAATATGGGCCCTTTAATGTTACTTCTGTCGTGTTTCTCCCTCTGATCCACTGTAAAGAACCGTATCAGTTTGCTGATAGTGCCAACCTCCACAGCTGTTATATATATAGCACAAACTCCATACCAGCACCTATCTTTACAAATCCTCCGCAATGCCAGGATGAAGAGAAGTATCCGTCATTAACCCGTGCTATTACTGGATGATCTTACAGAGGATAAGGAACAACCAAACAATGCTTAATATCAGATCAGAAGCTTTTTTTGGTCTAGGTTAGCAGTAGGTCAGTCTCATTATGCATGTAAAGGGCATGTCAGGGCAAACACACAGAACAGGGGTACTGAAGGACCCACGATTTATTCTGACTGCAGATTCATTTAACTTATGGTCAGATAAAGTGTAATTACCATTAATTTATGTTCAGGTGGTCAAGGTGGGCAAGTAGTACATTTTTTTTTACATGAACAATGCATATATAAAGTTGTAAGACCCCCAGTCAAAGTGAAAATAAGTTTTCACTTTGAAAGTACAGGGAACAAACTTAAATATGGCATTTTCTGTAAACTGTAGTGTACAATTTCTATTTATAGATTAGAGACTAGTTTAACATGTTGGGGGAAATACATATAAAAATGCCATAAGGTTTGCACTTTTCTTGTTTTATGCAGGTACATTTTTCACTGATCAAGGTACAAACAATGTAAAAGTACCCTCAAATGTACAACAGTGGTTTGAAGGTCCAAATGTGTACATTACAAGTTTTTTTTTTTTTCCCCCCAGGTGAAAAGTACATATTTGTACCTTTTCATAACCGAATGTTTTAAAACTGAATAATAAAATAAAAAGCCTGGAGACGAGACAGGGTGTGTGGAGTTAATACAACCATCACCATTTTACAGTGATATAAAAGCATGTTTAGCATGTTTGCTATCTTTTAGCCTGCTAGCTAAATGACCATTTCTAGTTAAGAAAATATGTTGTCCCTCAGTTTAAACAAAAACGGGTGCTTACGTTATCAGTACACTCGGTGGTCCATGCGAACAGCATGTCAAAAATTATTACATTCACAGCACAAGGTTTTATCGTGATGTGGCGCAGTATCACAGAATTTAGTTGTTGTGAAGTGGTCAGAGGTGTGTGTACATTGAGTATTTTACAACAACTTTAAACATGACTCAGCCAATCAGATTTTAGAATCTGTTTTATAATGACCAATAATCAGCTTGTTCTTTTTTGTACTTTTTATTCAACAATCAGTGACTGATTGAGAAGAGGGAAGTGGTCTATTTTCCTCTGGGGGGGCTCTTGTTCTTCAAAATCACAGATGTGGGGGGAGCCGCACCAATCCTGCCTGCTCCACATGCCATCTCTAGCACTGTAGGCTGTTTGGTCGTTTGGTTAGAGCATCATTTATTTAAAAAGTGGATGCTTACTTAAGCTTCAATTGTGCAGGTATCCCCCTGCATTTAGCAACATCATACACAAACAGCAGACATACAGCATACGCGAAAGGAAACTTAAAAGTCTAAAAAACTTAAAACATGCAATTAACTCATTGTTCTATAGGTGCTGCTTTGTTGCCACTTGGAGGTGTTGGAGGTCTTGAGAAACTTTAACTTTTTCAAGTGGTAATTACAAGCTGGGTAGCAGTTCAAATGGTATCTTCCTACTTAGGAGTTGGAAATATCACAATTGCAGCATTAAAACATATAGTAGGACAGTATTTGGGAAATTCTGGCAACATAGGATTACATTCTGTAATACTTTTTTTCCTATCTGAAAATAAGATTCTGTCATAGCTACTGTCCTAAATTCAGTTATGTTTCTATAATATATCCCCAGGTTCTAAAATGTGATTGGCTGAGCCATGTTTGAAGCCACTGTAAAATATCCAATGCATACACATATACCCTCACACATGAACCGAATTCTTTATTATTTTAAAAACTTCACAGTGCATCTAACAACAATCCTTATCCATGGTAAAACCACTGTAACGCACAGCCTCTCATGGCTTATTATGTTTAAGACTTTGACAGCCATTCAGCTAGAACGTCCTTGTGATAAACTTCCAAATTCATGAGTTTACAAGTTTACAGGGATCATTTAAAAGCACCATTAGCAAGTCTTCTACTTGTTTATGAAATTACCAATGTATACACATGTACCCACATGCATAAACTGAATTCTGTATTATTGTCACAAGTTTGTCACAACAACCCTTATCTGTGGTAAAACCACTGTAGCGCAGGGCCTCTCATGGCTTATTACATTTATGACTTTGTCAGCCATTCAGCTGGAACATCCTTGTGGTAAACTTGGAAATTCATTGGTTTACGAGTTTACAAGGATCATTTAAAAGCACCATTAGCTAGCTTTCCACTTGCTTATGAAATTAACAATTTGTCTTTCTGTGCTGTGTCCAGTCATGCACATGTTCCAGAGCTTTACAGAGGGCGAGCTGAAGCAGATCATCGCCACACTGGTGGAGCGCAAAGCGCAGAGGGACGCCAAGCAGGGCAAAAGGACTAAACGGGCTAAGAATGGCAGCAAAGTGTGCTCGCTGCAGGAAGAAGAGGTGACAGTCAGCCAGCTGGGACTGGGCTACATCAGCGACGAAACCTTCCTTTTCCGCTACTGCAGTGGAAGGTGCGCAGCCAGCCGCCGCAACTATGACATAACGCTGGCGTTCTTGAGCAAGAGCAAGAACAAGCTAATCAAGGAGGACCTCAAGAAGGCCAGAAACAGACCCTGCTGCCGGCCAACCGCCTACGACAAGGACATCTCCTTCCTAGACAACCAGAGCCGATACCACACCATCCATGAGGTTTCTGCAAGTCAGTGCGGCTGCATATGATCCTTATAGCAGACGCTACAATGGCGGGGAAGTGACACTCATGTTGTGGAGGGGACAACTCCATGTTCTTTGATGTGATTGATGAGCTGTAAAAAAGAAGAAGGTAGAAGAAGATGTAGGCCATAACTGGCATAAAATAAGTATGGCTATAGAGGGTAAAGTTTCTGTTATGTTTCATTGCCTTTCCTGGACACTGTTCTAAAATGGAATCAGTCATTACACTGCATAAATAATGAGCTTTTCGTGAACCATCACATTCGCTACTCAGCTAATCACGGCACACCACAACTAGGATAACATCAAAAATGGAAAACATATGGAAAAAGAGATACTCCAGTATGGAACACTCCAGAGCTTTTGTCAGAAGCTGCTGTTGATCTAGCTTTTTGGACTAGCTTGAAATATTTAGTGAATGTTAGGTTCGTGGCTGCAGTACATCCCTAAATCAGTCATGCTCGAGAGCTATGATCAGCCTACACTCTCTCTACAAGTATGGAGATGCATTCTCCCACAAATTGTTTGTTTGTGTAAAGGATGCCCGTAAGTGCAGGCTTGATACCACATTCCCGTAACCACATGCTAACCTTAACATCACTGAGACGTAAAAACAGCAGCACCCAGACACATCAGCACCTCAGGGCGAACAGCCCAGATTGAAGATCTAGAGAAACAGTACCCATTAGTAGTTAAGCAGCAAAAAGAGTATATATACATATAGTTAGACCTACCGTAGATATGGATATGGAATAGCTGCAGTTCTTATGCTGTGTTTACATGTTCATAGCGCATGCAGCCATGGAAACATACCAGCATTACCAAAGAAAATGAATGATTGTCAGAAAAGAGCTTGAACAATGTTGATTGTTTAAGGTGGAAAAAAGTGATGAGGATGTTCTGAACTCTTTATATTTTGCTGTATAATAGAGGGTGCACATGGATAACAACGTCCATTGGTGTCCATGTCTCCCAAAAAAATCAACACTATGTTTAGCACAGTGGTAAATCATAGTGGCTAAAACCACTGCCCTCCACGAGGCAGACCAGGGTTCAATGCCCCATCTGGGGAAGCACACCCTGCTACAACAGCGAGTTTCCTTGGGCTGGACTCCTAATGCTACATTCACCTACCTCTGAAACCTGGTTAAAAATTGTAAGTAACTCTGGATAAGAGCATCTCGCAAATCCAGAGCAAATCCCAAATGTTTTCTTCTGCTGCGGTTGATGACAGAAGTAGGTAAAGTTTAACTCTTGATGAAACATTCTGCTTTTGCTGCTGGCAGTGGCACAATTTTAAATTGCTGATCCATGGACAACAATGAAACATCTGGTTTTCTGTTGACCGTCTACCACAATGTAAATGTAAAGAATCACCTTTACTAACAATACATAAAATTTCAAATACAGTCGTGTGCAAAATTTTGGGCACCCCTGGTCAAATTCAATATATCGCTGCTGTCGGACGAATACCTTGTATCTCCGTTTTTGTTGTTTTTCAGTTTTTGACATAATTTGAAAATACCTACTTTCCTTTATATTGTGTGTAAATTTTGTGATGAATGGACTAAAAGAAACAGCCCAAAATTACTTGGAAACATTTCTGGTTCCACTGACTTACATTTAAAGTATGTTTTTTCCTTCTCCTGTAAAGTAACCATTTTGGAGATACAATGTTTTGGTCCGACAACAGCAATTAAAAAAATGAAACATAACACGTGGCCTGTGCAAAAGTTAAAGCTCATATGTTAAGCATATGTTAAACTTGGCAAATAATACAAACTGTGCACTAAGTAGAAAAAACATAATATTTAAGTTTGTTCCCTGTATATTATGGCTTAGCTTATTTTTTCACTTAGAAAATCAGCAAAACATGTTTTCAGACCAGGGTTGTTCAAACTTTTCCGTATGTCTGCAGATCACATTTAAAGACCACTTCACGTGCACAGCACACCCATTAGGGAAAGGCCATTTGACATGCAAAGCTCCCATCCAAAGTGATCAAATTCATAGATAAAATGTAATGCTTTTCATCAATGGGTGAGAGAACACATAGCCAGATACATTACCTCTTTGTAAAGGCCTGGCTACCATTTAGGATATGCAGGAAGCCAATCCAATCAACCAAAGAGTAACCACTACAACCAAAGAGTGGTCATCCGATCCACTCCAGTGTGGGCCACACTGCAAACACAAAGGCCAATATTGCAATACTGGTCTGTTACAGTAGACTGAAGGCTTCTTCTGCTGGAGATGAACTTACCATGTCTAGTTTAATGTAAGAGTCTGTGTCCTTGCATGTCTCTTCAGGTATGCTACGCTTTCTCTAGAAACTCTGACACCATGCTGTCACGTCTGAGCAAAGTCAGTTTAACGTATACGCGCTTTAAAAGAGTCGTACAGCTGTGCTCGGCCTCACCACAGCTAAATTGCTCTTCTGAGGGAACTATGAGCCGTGCTTTTTCCAGCCCTAATAGAAAGCAGAATACAAAAGACATCTCCTTTTCTCATCAAATAGACATCGAGCTGCTTTAGCGCATTGACCAAAACGGCCCTCACAGGAGATAACAGACTGACAGAGGTCTAGAAATACAGACAATCTCTGCTGAAGTGAAAAGACTGAGGGAGAGAATAGACTGTGGCTTTCAAAATGCTTGACCCAACACTAAAAAAGCTAACTCGCATAATAATCACCTCTAGCTCATCAATAACGATGTCTAATCTTTTCCATTGATATGCATTGATAAAAGAAGGCACATAGCAACACTGCTGCAAGCAATAATCCCAGAATACAATTCGGACACAGAGAATTCAACTGCATTATAACTAAGTTGTTGTATTTGGCTGCGAAATCAGTGGAGGAGCAGGTGCTAGGAATGTCACAGGAGGATTGTGCCTGAGTTAGCCTCAACAAATCCATTCCATTTGTGTAAATCCTATAACAGACTACTCTAATCCACTTAGCGCCTTTCTAACAGACTTGGCCAAAAACACTGAATGCTGAAGCGGACAGAACAGCAGGTCCTCCTATATGGGCAGAAACATACTCTGTGTTTAGGGGAGGTAAATGCCCTCAGTTACAGTCTTCTGTGGAACTTAATAAGATGTTTTGTATGGTCAAGAAGCTTCCTTAAAATCATTTAAAGCTCCAGCCTACATGTAGAGCCTGTAACTAGCACTCGTCTCTGGGTCTGAAACGCACTTACTGCAGTCCAATTATTACATCATTAATTACATCATTAAGAATAAGGCCTAAAATGTATTTTTAAACAGCTATTCATGGCAGAGAGGTGCATGCAGGATGTTGTCAGGCAAAATAGTACCCAAAACGTACTTTTTCAGATCATTACCATTTCATATAAAACTCAGAGGACATATGTAGGACAGGTGGTGAGTCTGGATAGTAAATGAAATGGCTATATTTGTGACATCATGACCCCTGGTTCCACTGTAAAGACATCTGAATTGGTAAATTTCTCTACAATGTAACATTTCACATCAAACCATTGTCAATGACTTTTGAAGTTCATATCTCAACAGGTTAAAAAAGGAATTCCACACATTTTTTTCCAAAATTTCTGCATAAGTAAATAATTAAAATATAAATAAAGTCATTCAGAGTAGTTTGATGTGCAATGCTCTGTTCTTGAGAAACTTACAGTCAGAATTGTTCACAGTGGTGGTGATAGGAACCAGACGTCCAAAGTATTTAATGCCTCTCAAAGGTCCCTCACAGAAAGGTATTACACGAAATGGTTATGATTACACTGTCTGGTGCCAGAAACATTGTTTTATAATAGATCCTAGACAAAATTTTGGCTAAAAACATATTTTAACCTAGTCCATGGTGGAGAGGTGCATGCAGACAAAACAGTCCCCAAAGAAAACTCTTTTTTTCAGATTTATCACTATTTTACCATTTACATTACATATAAAACTCATGTCACATGTAGGTTTGCTGGTGGTTTCAGACAGCAAATATATGGCTATATTTGAGTCATAGACATCATGACCCCTGGTTACTATCACCACCACTTTAAAGGAATCCAAGTCACTAAGTTTTTCTACAATGCAGCATTATCTATCAAACATCTCTGAATGACCAATGTTAATTACATCTCAGTGATTGAAATGCAGAAATCTTAAAAAAGTCCAAAGACGCCCCTTTAATTAGGCAGACATTTAGTAAAATCTGTGCAATTCCCCTTTAAGCTGAAAGGAGTTCAGAGGCACAAAAGCACATTAGGAATCAAACAGTTACAAAAGGGGTCTTACACAGGTACATGTGTAAAATGAGCTGTTTAAAAAATTAAATCAAATGCAAATTTAATCAAATAAATGAGAGAATAATTCTGTACGTTAACAAGAATTTGCTGGCTCACTGGCATGCGATGGCCCAGAAACAGATTTACAGCAAAGGAATTTTTTCAGAACTCTAATCAAGGAACGGTTGAGTGACCTCTTAAGTTAAGCCCAATCAATTAATTAGAGTAAGAGAGTGATTAAAGAGCACGGATCGAAGGCCAAGCACACAAGACCGGGGCTGGATCTTTCAGGATGTAACATGGTTAGTCACAGATTATACTAAAAATGAACTGTAAAAGGGCTGCGCATTAAAAAAGGACTTAATATATGCTGTTTGTGCATGCATTGATAAAAGCAGGAACAGTTTAGCATGCTAAAATACAGAAGTGGCACGGCAAAATCCTAGAATCAGTAAGCTAGACCTGTTAACTTCCAGGACGGACTGGAACATTACATACGCTAATACTTTATTTTTTTGAACATATATATATATATACAAATGTATATATATATATATATATATATATATATATATATATAATATATATATATTATATATATATATATACATATATACCAAAGCCTCCCCTCCCTGCCCCTTTAACCCTTTCAAATACAGCCATTATTTTCTGGCATTGTTGGACCCTGTTGACCAACTACAATAAAAGTTGATGCAATGCATCTGTGTAAAGGATTATCTA